TATGTAATAGTGGTTTATTCCCACGTGAGACCAACATGTAAATGACTATCACATTTATGTAACAAGGTGCATGTCTGAAAGGGGCTTTTTGCCTATTGATTTGAGTGGAGGATGATTGACAGGAGGCGGCACCTAAAATGACCACAGAAAATATTAGGTATTGCTTGAAAGGGTTATTTTGGAGGAAATCAAAAAATAACTCAGAGAGAAGCAATCAGAAGGAAACAGGAAGGAAAAGTAAGACGATCCCCTTCGTCCCATCTCCTGTGGTGTTCTTGAATCACACCATGAGCTTCTTTGAGAGTAAAAACTGGAGAGCTTCATGCTCATTTTGTGAAGCCACTTTTCAAAATGTCGTTGTTGCGCTTCCCATTCACAGTGATGGATTACTACTGATGACATTTGAAGTCTCCAGTTGCTTTGTGTGCTGTTAGGAAGTGAATAGGAGCGAATAAGCCAAAGACATTTGGAAAAGTTAAAGACTTTTTTACTCCAAGAGCATGCATGTGGAGGCTGGGAGAAAATAAAAAAACAACAGCAAAAACTGAAATTAGGATCGAGCCATCCTTTACAAAAGACAGTATAAACACAGCGTACCCTTGAGTATCATTAGGGGAAGACATTTGAAGAAGCCCAGTTTGGTTTCCTGTAAAGAATTGCTTGGATAAAGGCAAAAAAATGCTAATTCCACTAGCTCTTGTACGAACGTGACCCTGCTGGAACTCCAGGGGAGGATTTCTTGTCTGAGGTACCCTAGAGATGTGATCACTTTCCCCAAGTGATTTATTAAATGGGGCCGGCTATAGAAAAGTGTGGGACTGTGATTGGGGGGGAGGCCCGCTATCATTTTCCCTCGGGACGTGTGCGCACACGGCTATGTGACAAATTAACATCAAAAAGAGCCTCTTGTTTCTAGAAGCGAGGAGGGAAACTTCCTTGTAGCTGATTTATGTCCTCTCACCGCTCCCACAGACGGCAGCCACCCTGACCATTTAGACAGCTCTCACATTAAATGGAGCCATTTCATTAAATGTAAAACTAAATCACCTCATTGCATTTGCCCTAAATATGACCCACCATAACATGCACTGATCTCTCAGGATGAGCAGCCAAACAAGATTTCTCCGTCTGCAGGGGGTTTTACGACCGTGAAGGTAAAGGAAACATAAAGCAGAGGTAGTGTAATCAAGTCCAAACGCTTTTCTTTTAATTGACGGATAATAAGGACTTAATTCTTTGCGGTTTTAATGGTTCATACATAATATAAAAATGAACTAAAATATACACGCTTCATGAAATGTATCCCTGAAGGAGGTAGAGCATCTGAATATATTTGTCTCCTATAAAGGTGACCTACAATCAGTACTGTCCCTGAACGCATCCTTGGTAGAGATGGGGGGCTGAAGCTGCTGCTACACTGTAAAGCAATTGTCTTTGTATGTGGGTGGGAAGCCAGTGGGGGATCACATATTCAATTATAGAATATTTAGAAGTATTATTCCTGATGCAGGGGTTCCAAACATGTGGGGCATACGATAGATGTTATCGTTGCATGTTTATAAGTTTAAAAAAAGTAAATCGTCCAAAGCAAAATCAACAAATCTTCCAAATTATGCGGAAAAAAAATAAAATGAAGTTTGATTAGGCTAAGGCACAAAAACACCTTGGTTATGTTTAGCACTCTAAAATAATAATTGGCACATACAGTCAAATTCTTGCCAAAGCCAGTTGAGAGAAGAGCGAAAACATCTTTTCCACCAAGAAAAGCCATGAGCATTGTTCTTTGCTGAGATAATCTTCAGTTCCGATGTAACTGATGATATTGCAGCATCTACGCTAACCTCTTCAGGAGCCACCATTGTTTGTTGTTTAGAATGAAATAAACATAGATTCGCCTCTCTGTGTTGTCTCTCAAACATCTAAACCACACCTGATTGGTCCGTGCACTGGCTTGCCGGACACAAACGCATTAGTTGAAGCTTGCCAAGATGGATTTTTGTGTGACTTGTGATCCCAAGATTCTCCCGTAATCTACGAATCCAGCTGACATACAAGGTAAACTCATCTTCTTTTTCCTCTTGCATTCAACCCTGCGTAATGTGCATCTGAAGATGCAAAGGTCCCCATGCCCGCAGTAGAGTTATAGCAGCAATTTGCCTCATCTCACCTGTGGTCAACCACTCAGGATTACATTTCTGCTGCTATGAGAACAATCAACATGATCAGGCTGACCTCAAGCAACAAAGAGAATACATGAGAGAATGACACTAACAATAAAAATGGATGAAAGACAGTGAGCAGAACGGAGAGAGGGCAGTCTGAAACACGGGATGAAAGTACACAAAATCCTCCACGGCACTGTGAAAAAAAAAAAGAAAGGCACACAGATGGGCAATCCCAGAGGTCAAGAGGTCCATCTCTGTATCTTTATTTTGAGGGCACATAGAGAAAGAAGCGCTGACAGTTTCATCATCCCATCCAACACTGATGTAATGCTAAAGCTGAGTCGTGTTCACCCGGCTGCCCAGGTGATTGCCCCCAAAAACCTGACACGAAATCAAACCATCAGAGATGACTGACCGCAGACAAAGATAAAAGCCATACGTTCTGCTGGTACCGCTCTGTGATAAGGCAGCCTGTATATTGGTGTTGTGAGTTGTAACCGGCGGTTTTAACAACTGCTAATAAAACAAAATGCCGCTTTACATTTTTTCATCAGCCATTATTTAGAAGATCTTTAATTTAAGTATAATTGATAAAGGAATTTTACCAAAATCCTGATTGTCTGCAGTTGTAAATGTTAAGAAGCTGACAATATTCTACTGTACAATTTATCAACAACACAACCCAACACACAAACATTGATAACTTGTGTACAGTTATTCATTACACTAACCATCTGCTTTTTGCAACATAAATAGCATAATTACTGTGACTTTACACCAAATCCACACAAACACACAAACTCTTTTCTCTTTGTTCTGTCTTTTTCGGTTATTTTACTTCTCTACTTTACTGATTAACATTTTCATTCATTTTACTTTATTAATTGTCACAACTTTCCTTTTCTAAATCTTCTCTATTATTTGAATACATGTTATTTTGGCCCTTTTCCAGAGGGTAAGTTGTCAAACGGTCTCTTCTAATTAATGTTACGTGTCATGCCAAAGAGTCTTTTTATTTTACAACCTGGCAACCCATAAGGATTATTTGTAATGGCTCATAACTGATATATGAAGTGAAGGATAAGAAAGCATTTTTAATATACATTTAGAATAACGCACCAGCTAAATATGCAACACTTTTTGACGGTATCTTTGCACTTTACAATAAACCTCTTCTTAATATCAATATGTCACACATTCACATATTCTTGCCCCGCAAGATTTTGGCCAGGCAATTTGGGGGAAATCTGAGCTTCAGTATCTTGCTCAAGGACACTTCAACACATGGGCAGGAGGAGCTGGGGGTGGAACCACCAACCGATTAATGGATGACCTGCTCTCCCCTCCCATCATCAACTCCTTGGCTTGGCATTAAACCACTCGCACTAATTAACTATCACCTTCAGAATGACTGAGCAAAATCACAGTATGACTTTGCCAATAACAGGGAGCTGCAGTCATATTTGTGCTGCAGTTTTACTGCACATTGCATGTTTTCACTTAGTACATTACAACTGTACTCTGTCATTACGCTATGATGTTGTTGAAAAAAGCCTATCATTTTTGACTTACGGTAATAAAGTAAATACACTACAATTAAAGCATTGTGAAGTGTAATCACACTTTTCCTCTGGAATAAGAGGCAGCGCATTGATTCTCCATTATTTACCATGTTCCTTGGCAGAGTTAAGGTGTTTTAAATGCCCAACACGCTCAGCTTACCAGGAAGCAAATGCCATTGAGAAGGTCAATGTTCAATGAGTGGAAATAGGTGTTAAAGTAAACAGTGTAGTTGATGGGCTTTTAACTTTCCTCATATTGGTGTCTCTGCAATATCCCCTTACCCTACGAGTCTATTCATATTGTGCCCGCAAATATAACAGCATAAGTTCTGTGTTATTTCACTCTGAGCACTCTCTCTGCTTATATTGCTTATATCTCCTCACGTGTATAGTGAAAGCAAAAACAATTGCTTTAATCTCCCGGACCTGCTAGCACTGTTGGTTTACAGAGAATATTTGCGCTGAGGGCTCTCCCCCACGCTGCTGCTGCTGGAATGGAAAGCTAACAATACAGTAGAGGTGGGACTGGATATCATCTGAACGCATCAGTTTATTAACCGGGCTGACCAGCAGAGAAGGCAACAAAACTGCTGCAGCCTCACACTGAGTTTATTGGGGAAGAATGCCCTGAAAGAAAAAAAAGGAAAAAAGGAAAGACATTTGTTTGTTATGCACACACACACACGCACACACACACACACACACACACACACACGCACACACCTTTATGGGTTTTGAGGACTGCAAAGTCCCTTTAAAGATTCTGGCCTCAGTCCATTTTTTCTGCGCTGATGAATAAATAAAAATTAGATAAGAAATGAATTGTCTGCAATGGTTTGTGTCGGGTGTAATTGATCCAGTGAGGCTGAAAGCGCTCGCTCAACTGGCCCTTCACGATCCGTGGCTCAATCCTATTACGGCTGCTGTTACCTGTTAAAAAACAGCAACCGCTTCTTGTCTGGCTTTGTTTTTGTTTATATCTGTGTATGTATTGATGGGAGGGGAGGGGCCATGAACAGATGGACTTTAATCTCAAATTTCACAGAGCTAAGAGACAACTTCAAAGTGGATCAGCCTGAAGGATGGAAACGGGGGGGGGGGGGGGGGGGGGGGG